TTCCCTCCTTTTCCCGCTAGGATCGGAAATCCTGTATTTCCCATATCCATACGATAGAGTTCTTAGGTTTCCAAAATAGTGTAATGGAAAAAGAAGTGCTTCGAATCATTGCTATTTGACTCGGACCTGTTCTAAAAAATTCGAGGTATTTCGAATTGTTTGTTGACATAGACAAAGTAAGGGAAAACCTCTGAAAGAATTTCCATATTGACCTTGGACATATAAGAGTTCCGAATCGAATCTCCTTAGAAAGAAGATCTTTTGTCTCATGGTAGTCTGCTCTAGTCCCTTTACGAAACTTTCGTTATTGGGTCCTTCTCCTGTTGCTTGATTCACATGGCATCATCAAATGATACAAGTCTTGGATAAGAATCTACAACACACTAGAACGCCCTTGTTGATGATTCTTTACTGCGACTGCATCCAGCTCGAATAACGCGATATCTCACACCGAGTTCAAAGATACTTAACCCTTCCTCCTCTTACTAATACTACAAAATGTTCTTGTATGCCCAATACCTGGTATAAGCAGTGATTTCAAATCCAGAAGTGAATCGTACTAATTTCCTTTACGTAAGGCAGAGTTGGGTTTTTGGGGTTGATAGTGGAAAAGTCGACAGAGAAGGATCATCATATCCTTGTTTAAATAGGTCCACTAGACCTTAGCTACTTAATTTCATGGTATTTAGCACGCATGATGGAAGATTGGAATGATGGTATCAATGTGCCGCATTGAAATGAGAGTGGCTATATCGCTATCAATCAAGGTGGGACAGATCAGCCATCTCCACACATCGCTAGTTTGCTGAAAACAATCCAGCTTTTGCCAAAAGAAAGCCAAACTCTCATCCAGATGCATCTCGATTCACATTTCTATATGATAATATGCACGACCGATTCCCGTATCTGCTGATACAAGAGATTCTTTCCAAAGATAACCCTAACCCCTGGGTGGGCGAAAGATGGAGACAATACTGCTGTTGAAGCGCAAGAGTGAGCAGCAGTCCGGTCCGCCCTTGCTTTCACAACTTGAGCAGGAAACTTCCAACCAAATAGGAGGGAGGGACACTCTCAAATAGGAATGCAAACATAAAATGCGTGCTTTTGAGTGTCAATTCCTCTTCTGACTGAAGTGAATAACAAACATCCCTTCCATTTGGACACTAAATAATGAGAGAATCGTAGAAGCTATCGGAATCCAGGGCTAGAGTCTTTGGCTGAACATCCACAGATGATCGATTCCTTGCGCTAGCAAGTATTGGATTGGAGTGGCGGTTAGTTGGCTCACCATATGGTATAGATCGATAGATATATTTGATACGTCCTATAACATGGAGACGGAGATAGCCAAGCCCCTTTCTCGAAAGGCAAACCCTCTTTATCATCCAACACAGGATCTCCCTATGGAATACCACCATTGTATTTCTCCATCTCACTCAATAGTATATATCGGTATAAATAGCTCAGCTCATGAAATAGAGCGAGCAAGAGCTCGAACTTGGTAGGAAAGTTCGGATAAGTCGACTCGACTCCTTAGTGCAGCGTACACTTGCTGAAGCAAAACGAGGCTCATCCATTTGTTTTGATCCGAATCACACTCTAGACCAGCTCTTCTTATAGACAAGGAACTCCACTTTGACAGTCATACGAGAGGGAAGAGACTCAAAGTTGATGAGAATAGTCGAGTTGACCGGTATCACGAATAGCAGTTTTAGTAGAAAAGGGCGTTGATGATTGAAAGGATTTCTCCTCGAACCACTAGTAACTATGTCATCTTTTGTCATTCTGATGATACTGAATCGGATCAATATTTGTAATAACAATATTTGATCTATCAAATCGATTCATCATCGAGAATGGAATAGTATAACATAGGAATTTGATCCAAACAAACTCTGAATTGGGATTTCATATTGGATCAAGAATCCCATTGCATTTTGCATCCTTTTCCATTTTGCTTCTTTCAGGCAGTTTTGGCTCGCAATAAAGCTAGGGTCCTGATCGAGCAAGACTACGTCCTATCTATCTACCTCTCCAAACACAATATCTTGAGTACCTATGATGGTGACTACATCTGCTGGCATGTGATGTTTGGACATAGAATCGAGTCCTTGTGAATGGGCAAAGCCAGGTGCTCTTATTTTACAATGGTAGGGATGATTACTCCCATTACTGACAAGAAAGACACCAAATTCACCTTTAGGTGCTTCAACTGCGGTATAGGTAGAAGGAGCTGGTACGGAAAAACCTTTTGTATAAAGTTCGAATTGGTGAATTGAGGTAGAGTAGACCGATGATCCGGTAGTCATTTGGCCGGCTATGGAAAGAAAAAGCTTGCATCTGCTGCCCCTAAACTATAACGGGTCCCATCTCTCTCCAAACCTAACGTGGAAGTTTCCCATCATAAGGATTTCCATCTATAGATTGAGCCATTACCCACCAAGGATCCCATTCATTCAAAACTCAGTCGACTGCTTCTATAGATAAGGCGGAACGTCCTTAGTTTAGCATTATAGCACATTGTCTCCGACGCTACTATAGTGCTTCGCTAACTCAAAGCGCCTCGCTATGAGAATGACGCGTCGCTAACGCTCGGCTAAGTTGTCGAACCCTCGCGCAGACCATTCGCTTTCTCAGTAGCGAAAGCGCTTCTCTTTGCCCCTTAACTTCATAAAGTATTTGGAAAGAAAGAGATTCTTGGTTTTATTGCTCCCGCTTCCTCATCTGCGCTCGTCAAGCCAACTTTGATTTTTGGGGGGCGAAAGAGGGGTTGAAGCGGACATGTCGAAATGACAGCATCGAAGATATCTATATACACAAGAACGCTTATTCCGGACTGCGTTCCGGAAAAAGTAGCCTACTTGACAGAAAGGGCGGGCACTCTCGGCGCGGAAGTAGGCACTCTCGTCTTTCAACCCCACCATCACTTTGAATTTAGTGGGGCACTGTTTACTTACAACCTCTACGAGTTGCAAGTGAATGGGGCCGGTGCGTGGTGAACGGAAGGGTTCATCAAGCCATTTCTTGCCTTAACTCCTAAACTAAATAGAAAGAGGGGTACTTGACTAATAGGGGGCAATTGCATTGCACCTGACTGTGAGGGACCTCTTGATACCTTATGTTCATTTCCTAACTAGTAGCCGGTTTCCTGTCGTGGAAGCCTTTTCCCAGTGCGCGGAGCCCCGATGAGGAAGGTGTTAGTGCTTTCTAATGGGGTCAATAATGCTAATCCCTCTTTTGTGCCGGGAAGAAGATAAGAAAAGGCGAAGCCTTCTCTTGGTTTCCCAACCTGTTGCTCCTATGCCGCCGCGTTTCCCGGTCCTTTTCTTTTAGTGCTCCGACCCGAAGCGATAGCTTGACACGTTTTCCGTGGATAAGATGGCAGCGCTCCAGCTCACTAAAGAATGGGACAGCAGTGGTCTGCCGGCAAGCTCGTTCTGATCCTGGACGCAGTACATTGGAATCCTGAAGCACCACCACGAACACTACCGCGCGTGCGCCTGCGGTGCGGTAAGGCATCACCCTGTTGTGCCAGTAGCCAACTCCGGCGTGTTAGCTTAGTTATCCTCATCAAGCCACAACCTTGATGTCTAGCTTCCCAACTGGTAGACGGTTCCCTTTCCCCCGGATCAATGAAGAAGGGAGAAGTCAGTTGATTCCTCCGAAGAACCGGAAGCGAAGCACTATGCCGGGGCGAGGGGACGGGAAAAGAAACTGCTCCGAAGAAAGATATTGGGGTTCCCAATGCTTCTCCACGCCCAATGAGATGTGCCAACCTCGTGATGCTTTACTCCTAACCCCACGGCGGTTCCGAGACGGAGCTTAATCTGAGTCTCGGTTAAGAACGGCGATGATCTACGTTTCACACGGTGCACGATTCCATGGATAGTTTCATTCGAGATCGTGATGGAGGACATAGCTTACGATCATCAGCTTTGATCATGCCACCAGGCATTTGATTAGGACATTGCACAATGATCCGAACACTTTGTCGCATCTCTTCAATACAGATATAATAACAATCATAGCGATCTCCTCTGGTACCTGCTGGTACGTCAAGATCTAATTGGTCATGAACATCGTAAGGTGCTGCTCTTCGCGAATCCCAGCATACCCCAGGTTGGGATGGGTAGGCCCAACACTTCACTTTTGCACTTTCACTTAGGCCCGGGCCGAGTCAGTGGGGGGACCCTATCGGGCTCCCCCCCCAAAACAAACTGTACGTGTGAGTTTCCCTTCATACGGCTCGAATCATTCTCAGATGCCCCGAGAGGCATCTTTCCTTATGATCTGGTGGTTCACACGCGCGCAAACGAGCACCGGCCGCAACATCAAGGAACGATGACCAATAGAGTCAGACACAGAGCGTCATACTTCTTTATCTTGTGATGGTTGAGGAGTTTCTTTCTTAGAGGGTGCGGGGCGCTTGCGGAGTCCGTGCCTTCCGTACCACCATAGGTCGTTCTTGGGAAGATCCCGCTCCTAAACATAAGGGAGGGATAGGGGGAAAGGGGCCCTAAAAATCATATAAATAGGGTTGTATAAAGACCACTTTCATTCGATGTTCCGGGGCGCCCGATTCGATCGACGAATTTGGCGAGCTGGTCCGCTTTGATCTAGGAGAAAGCCCAGTCAGCCACCTTTTTGGTGCAGGTCACGTGACCTACAGCTCGTCCTTCGCTTTTT